TGTATTATTCGTTTGGCAACATGTAACAAAAACGACTTATTTGGATGGAAAATTATAAAACATTAATATGTCCTCAAATAGAAATTGGAAATTGAAATTGATTCGCTTTGGTCATCACATCACCATAATAAAGTGTTAGAAGAATCATTCTTCAAAATATAAATAAATCTTTTGAATAAATTGGTGAAATCAAATCAAATATGGTATATTTTGAAGATACTTACAGCCATTATATTTGATTGTTTCAAAAATTTTGTAGGATCTTATTCTACCACTAATTGAATTAAGCATATCATAATAAAACAATGTATTTTTATCTTTAGTCAGCGGACAAAATGCGTTTAACTATTTCACTCATGGGTTATATTTTAAATTTTTTTTGGGTCAAATGTATAGGGTCTAAATGGTAACCGTAAAATTTATGCAGAATTTCTACGGAATTGCTGAATTTGCTGAATTTTTAGTGATTTCTTGCGGAATTTGCTGAATAATGTCAAACTGAAATGGTAACTGCGGAATTTGCAGAATTTGCGAAATTTGCTGAATTTTGAAAAAGTAATTAATTAAATAAAAAAAATTTTCAAAAAATGCCACTTTTCAAAAATACCACTTTTCAACAAAAAAAAATTCATTATATCATTTATGTTTAGGTTAACTATCTTGTATAGAGTTTAGTTTTGAGGGTTTAAAGAGTTTTAGTAGTCAAAACATTTTTTAGGGATTATAATTTTAAGATTTAAGCTTTAAAAATCCATAATTAGTGACATTTTTGTAAATGAATACCCCTAAGTATTACAATATTATTTTAGAATTATCAAACAAATTTTAGAATTATTACAATATTATTTTAGAATTATCAAGCAAATTTAGTAAGATTTAATCACACTACATATACATTTAGGGGACAATCGTAAAAATACCATTTTTGGTGTGTACATTTGCAAAAATACCACTATGGGTTGTCCATTTGCAAAAAATGCCACTAATTATAAAATTTTAGAGTCTAAATCTTAAAATTCTAAATCTACTGGGATAAATGGTAATCGCATAATTTCTGCTGAATTGTAGAATTTGCTGAATTTCTGGAGAATTACAGAATTTGTTGAATTTCTGCTGAATTTGTTGAATAATATGTCAAATTTAAATGGTAACTGCGGAATTTGCTGAATCTGCGGAATTTGCGAAATTGTGTTACCATTTAGACCCATAATTTGTTTACAGAATATAACAAGTAAGCATCATTGATTATTGCCCCATGTTCGAAAACGCGGCGCGGAAGACCGATTTTACGGCGAAAAAACGCTCGGTAGCAAGTACCCGACATGATTTTGTGGTAATCAGAAAAAAAATCGGATCTTTTCAAAAACTTAAAATTTTCACTATTTTAGATTCAAAATCGATAAAATTTTGATGGATTCTGTTATATTTTATTTTAAAAAACAAGAAAAAGCATAAAAATGAAGGAAAAACGTGAAGAAAACAAAGACAGGCGGCGGCTAAGGTTACAGAGGGTCGTCCTTCCTCATGAAGATGACGAGTGCAATATTGTAATTTTCCTTTTCATTAAAATAAATATGCGAAATTGATGCAAAAGTGATAGTAGAGAGAATTGAACACGCATTCGTAAGGATGTCCAACTTCCTACATACCACCAGACCAAGCTAACTTATTATTATCTTTCTGAAAAACTAATATATATATACTTTATTTTT